CAATCGATTTAGCTTATTATCCCACCTTAGTTTTCAGGAGGTATTTGAAGTGAAATAATTCAGAATGACAAATTTATCTTTGATATCAGCATTAGTAACAATACGAATAACGTTTGCTAGTTATTTTTCGTGATTGGAATAAAATAAATAAAAACGTGCTCAGAATGATATCTAAACATTTTTGTATTCTAATTATTATAGAATGGTTTACATTGCTTAACTTATTATTTAAAACAGAGTGGGTTAACTGGCGGTCCGCGAGCCCTTGTCCCCACTTTCCTCTTGTAGTGGGGAGATCGTCGCAGTGGAGGGGATAGCGCTAGCAATCAGGAAAGTACCAGCCGCCAGTTAGCCAACTTTGATTTAAAACGAAGTTACATTTCAAGATATACATATTCGTTCATCCATTAGAAAAGAATGCAATCACTTTTTAGTCAATCCAATAATTAATTAGTTTAAGTAAGTACTTTAGCTTTTAATTTTATGTGGCGATTGATAATTTTCTAACTTTTTATTTGCACATTTTGTGATTCGTAGAGTTGAAATATGTATTTCAACTACTCTATAAAGTTATCTATAAACAGAAATTGAACAAATTTTAACGTCTTTGCGATATTCTACTAGTTACTGAGAATATTGACATCGTGCGTAGTTCGATTTTTCTTTTTCTTGCTGACGCAACGTATATTTCTTATAGAAAGTTACACAACTCGATATATTTTACAATTGGATTTTAACGAACCCTTAGCGCTACATCCTTCAGCCTGGTTGTCAGAAATGCCCATGAAAGCCACGTGTTGCGAAACTATTGGTAACCACACAGATAAGTTTGACGAAGAAAATTAGCAGAGGATTGGAATATCTGTCTGTCCTATCCTTTGATAAATCTATCTAACCAGAAATATTAAATAACGCAACTTTCTTTTACATTCTTCGGCTTTCTTTACATTTAAATAGCACGTGTACCACTTTTGAAAAACAATTTATTCCATCCCGGGAGGAATAGATTTCGTGCTTACCAACCGAGAAAAAGAAAAAAAAGAAACAACAGAAAACCAGTTTATTCTTTGTTCTTTAATTACAGAATCAACGTAACGGGATATCTTACGCAAGGGTATCGAGTACGCAAGGAAAACAATAAAGGGAAATTGCAAAAGCAACTTTTACAAAGTTTCACTGATTCAACTGTTCAGTTTCAATCATACTTTAAATCAAACTTTGCGCTTCGTAGCTGAGTTTTTCCACGAATGGGAAACTTTATCTTACAATTAGGTGATCTCGGATGATCGATATCGATCGATGCAGCGAGCGATCGAGGAGAAAATAATTTGCTTTTTCTCAAGCGCGTGAAATGTGACAGCCAGTCTGGTAGTCATCTGAAGATTGAGACAACTCAACCCGGATGAAAATCAAGTTGGCAAATCGGTGGTGGCCGATTGTGGTAACAAACCGAGGCAATTGCAGAGTGCACTCGACTCAAGCAATAAGGTCATTCCGCTTCGTTTCGTACCGATTGCTCCCCCATTCGATTCGATATTAACTGCTGAGCCCATTTCTGTTTTTCTCCTCTCGAACAATGCCGCGCCATCGCGTCGCGTCGCGTCGCGTCGCGTCACATGGAAACCGTTCGTTTTTCTGTCAGATTCCCTGTTCTTTTTTCGACCTTTCTCTTTCTCTCTCTCTCTCTCCTTGCGTCCTTTGCTTAGTTAAAATAATTTTTAAACCTGTAAATCTACTTGTTTACAGTTTAGAGTTTAGAGTTATAATACGAGTTATTATGTACGCATAATGATGAAAAAATTATTATAGTTGATGCTTTGAACTGTTTGTACTAAATAAAAGAGTATCACAATCTAGTTGGTCTCACTTTGAAGCATAAAGCTTCCGCTTTCACTGCTCTTGGTTCGTTTTTTTTTTCCAAAAGATAGTTTTGCATCACATCAGTGGAGTATCTTTATTCTCGAAAGTTGAAAAAATTCAAACATCTCTGAGAACGTTGGAAAGTTTTTTTTTTTCGTAGCTCGATCCACTGTGGTTTTTTGAAAATTGAAATTTTTTTTTTACGAATTTGTTTTACGATTCTTTTTTCTTTTGCAATTTTATTGAATTTTGAAGATTAAGGTTAGGTGAAAAATTTTCGTTCAAAGTTCGATAAAATGATGGAGAAAAATCGTGTACGAAAGTTTTAAGAGGTCGTTGTAAATGGAAAGCTTTAATCTTCAGGATCGTGATGGATTTAGTCAGAAATAAAATGTTTCGGCGTTTTTGCAATTTTTTTTCAAAGAAAAGAACACCTTTCCATTTGCCGCGTAGTATCAAAATATCTTGGGGGAAACCAAATAGATTGTTACATGATCTTTTTTAACATACAATTTTTCATTTATATTAATTTGTTTTACGAAAATAATTTATACTTGCCAGAATAGTTTTTTCTTTTTTTTTCTTTTTTTGGGAAGCCGAGACGTTGAAAAATTTTGCTCTTTTTGTACTATACATGATAGAATTAACCTCTTGCGCTGGAATGCCACGCACGTCGAGAATGTTTTGTCCCAAAATTGTAATATATTTTCTCAGTTTTAAGCATATTTAAGTATAACAAAACCAATAATAAATTTGTTACTTCTCAATAATTTCTATCCAGTGATATCACACCGACGAGTTCGAAACGACAGCGACGAATTATTGTATACGACTTGGTCACTCGTTATGGTCCGCGATCATAGTTGCCAGCGCAAGTGGTTAAAAGTCCAGAAATGTATGTGCGTTCAACTTTGCTCATCGCTGTAACATGTTCACAGTGTGTATCGCATGTATCGAGGCTAATTTAAGAAATCAATTAAACTCGCTGCCGGTTAATGGCATCGGACAATGCGTCTCGGAGCTTTCAACTGTTTTCAACTTTCTCTGACGAAGTGCAGCCTTCAAATCCATCTAGCTATCAGCCGGGGCTATGCACGATGATTGAAAATCCATTTCTAGTCGACTCGCTTGAGCGACGACCGCGCGACAATTCGTGAAATGCACAGCCCCGATATTAGAGCGAATGTTTTCCCTTTTAATTTTCCACTTGACTTTCGCCATTTAAAAGCCAATCGTCGTCGAATATATTAAACGAATATAGTTCCGATGGGAGAATGTATACATGCATATATATACAGTTACGGACAAAATTGACAGGTAATGGAAAGGTAATGGAAATAGATATGAATTAAGTTTAGTCAAAGTGGTGCTATTATTACGTACTTGAGTTTTATATATTATATATTTTTATGGTACATAGATTATTTAGCGAATGATTGAAATTAATATTTACATTGGTTTGTTTCATTGGACACTCGTGTGTTTCGTTACTCCAATGCAAACAATGTAAAGAAATGATGTGAAGTGTTGCTCTCATTCTTACGTTCTCTGTGGTATCAAATTAACTGTTTAGTTGTTTTCTAGGCTTTGTACAGGGCAAATTATTTGTAAGGAAACGGCGGAATGTCAGCAAAAAAAGGAATTTCAAATCAAATTCGTTATTTGATTATATCGGACTGCCGCGATCAATTAAGTTACCGTGTGATAGCAAAAAAGTTCGGTGTTTCCAAAAGTGCGGTAGAAAAAATTTATAAAAAATACTTAGCACACAAAACCGTGGAAAATTTAAGTGGTAGCGGACGTAAACGTTGTACCACCGCGAAGGAAAATCGTTGAATTATTATTCGTAAATGTCGACAAAATCCAAGAATCGCATCGCGAAATATAATATCATAGAAACGTTAGAATTAAATGTATCATCAAAAACAATACGACGTAGATTGCAGAAGTTGGGATTGAGATACTGTAAAGCCAAATGTAACTACTCAAACATTACATTAATCAAACAAATACGAAGAAACGTTTAGCTTTTGCTAAAAAATACGTAAATATGCCAAAATCATTCTGGAAAAAAATAATATGGAGTGACGAAAGCAAATTTGAATTGCAACAATTGAAAAAAAAAATGATTATGTGTGGAGAAAAAGATATGAAACCTACAAAAAGCCGTTCATTATGCCAAAAATGGAGGAGGGTCATTAATGTTATGGGGATGTTTTTCATGGAATGGAGTTGGTAGTTTAGTACAAATTAAAGGAATAACGAATGCTAACAAGTACATTGAAATAATATGCGAAAATTTAGAAGAGGCAGTTCTAAAAATGGGTCTCGAAGAAGAATAAATTTTGCAACAGGATAACGACCCGAAGCACACTGCTAAAAAGACCAATAAATTTTTTGAGGATTCAAATATTAGATTGTCGGAATGGCCAGCACAAAGTCCGGACTTGAATTTAATAGAAAATTTATAAAGTGTATTGGACTCAAAAGTGCCATTAGAAAAGCAAAAGAACAAGAATAAATTAAAAATTTGCAATTAGCATTTGAAAATATCGATAAAAATTACATTGAAAATCTGATAAATGGCAACCCACGACGTTTAAATGCAATTATTAAAGCAAAGGGTGGACATACTAAATATTAATTTTATTTTTCTCATATATTTTATTACATGTCCATTTATTTTTGTCCCCGTCGAAAATCAGCAAAGTTTTTCTTCAAGTATATCTTGTTTCAATACAAATGTAAATATTAATTTCAATTATTCACTAAATAATCTATGTAACATAAAGATATATAATATATAAAATTTAAGTACGTAATAATAGTACTACTTCAACTAAATATAATTCACATCTATTTCCATTACCTGTCCACTCAATTTTGTCCGTAACTGTATCTACAGCACAGTACAGTACGCAGTACGTACCGACTATTCGATCGATTTCTCGTAATTTCTTTCTTCGCCAATCGAGGTTTACTAGACGCCTATCTACTCAAGTATCTACCTATCTATTTCATTACTTTGAATCGTTGATCAAAGAAAAATCACTCCCTATATATGAGGATCTGACAAAAGAGAGAATTTCAACAGAGAATTTTGCCTTTTCAAATTAAACATGCAATTGGACGGGCAAATCGCAATTTACAAAATTTATACATTTACAATTAGTTGCTGCTACTCGTATCCGTGTCTTACATACATACGTGTCTATATGTGCACCTACTAATTCTACAGGCAGCTATACATGTACAAGTAAATTTTTAGCTAATAAAACTAGTAAACATTTTGCTAGAACATTAAAATTTTATTACGTGTATATTGTATTTGGGTATACTTGTTGCCTATTTGTTGTCATATTTTATAAAAGGGTACGTCATAAAATATGAAATCAATTATAAATAATATCGAGTAACTAGGCAGATGATCGTTTCAATCAAAGTATCCTCTTTCATTCATAATTGGGATCATCTTGTGAGCTAATTTCACCGCGTCTGGATTTTTGAAAACATCCAATTTGGTTTCACCTGACAACTTGTCGAATAGTAGGACAAAATCCTCGGTATCCTCCTTGTCAGCCATCATTCGCAAATAAAGTATGACGCCAGAGAAAACGGCGTATAATCTTCTTTTGTGCATTGCTTCCCTCAACTGTTTCATCGTCGGTGGTTTTCGCTTGCAATCGATATTTTTCATTGTTTCCTCCAAGGTGTCCAAATAAATTTTCAGAAAATAATCGTCCTGGGTGTATTTCAAGTCAAATTCTGGACAGATATTCAGAAAGTACAATAGATCGATAGCCGGGGACGTGTAAACGGACATTTGATAGTCGACCTGAAAAATCGACCGTTCATACCTATTACTCTTAGTGTGAAACTAACAAATGAAGAGGCAGAGTTACGATCGTGCATACATATACCTACACATGTATGTACGTATACATATACATATATATATATATAGTTACAATAGAATCTTTGTTGTTTCGTGATAATCGCAATACTTAAATGCTGTTCGAACAATGGAATGACTTTGTTTTCATATGACAAAAGCGAGCAACTTTCTATTACATATCTTTACATATCTACGTAGTTTAGGTAAGTTTTCTACTAGCTTTTTGATCGTTATAGCGCTTTGTCCGCAATCTATCTTTATATTTATCCTTTGAATTTATGTCAATTTCGATACAGAAATTTGAAAAATATTCTGCACACTTCGTACAATAGATACGTAGACATGTACGTACATATACATACGTATGACATACATTGATAAATCTACATGAGTAAACATATTACCAATAACAATTCAACAGGTTGACCCTTTTCGTTTTCTTTGAACATTATGTTATTGATCCAGCAATCTCCGTGATTTAGTACGCAGAATTCATCGATGTCATAATCATAGATATGGACACATTCGGCCCCGATAGTTTCTGACAATTTAATTAGCTTGCTCGCCGTACGCGCGCACTTTTCATCCGACCACATTTTCATTTGCTCGGCAATTCGTAACAAGCTCACTTCCATCATTCGTATAAAAGTTTTCGGACATTTGGACGATAGAATGCCACCGTCTATAAACGAATCAACGATTTCTGGATTCTGAAAGATTTCTTGAAATTAATATCGAAAATATAATTAATTAGACCATTACTAATAGATAAATCAATCTTTATTCTGACAAATTAAATAGGCAAGTATATCGGTTTACTTATGTTTTGCGAGAAAGCAAAAAAAAAAAAAAAAAAGAAGAAAAGTAAAATTTAATTAATTTAACTAAAGTATATATTCTTCGCGCGCACCTCTTCAAAAACTGCAACGGATCCAGCGTGCAATCTCGCAAGTTGTTGCAAAACCAAACGGCAGTGTTGAAGCGGCAATCCCTTCTGGCGATCTTTCATAGCGAATCCTCTCTCGAGCAAGTTTTCCATTATAAGAATTCGAGAATCGCTAGAACCGTATAATAAATCTGGGCCCAGTTGAGGAGAAACAAATTTCTTTATCCTAGGTAGAACATCGCGCAAAACTTTCAGTTCAGTGTCGAACAAATCTTGTTGAGAAACGATGCTGTGCAATAGTTCGTTCAATGGTTCAACTTTGACAACCACATTGATCGCTTGCTCCAATTTTGTCTCGTTCGTTTTATCGTTGTTGGAAGGAACTGTATATCTGATATGTATCTCGTACAAATCACTGAGAAAGTTCATTCCCTTCTCCGACAAATAGTAATACTTAATTTCCAAAATTCTGACAGTTTCGTTTGATAATTTTCTTCGAAGTACTTTCTCGAACACACGTTCGTCGATTGTCAAGTGATTCACTTCCATTCTGAAACAATTTGTTAGATGCACATCGTGGATGAACACGTGTATTCACTATTTTCACACTGCGTTTTTACATCGTGTCGGTAGTTTTCGTTTCCAATGATTATTTCGATCTAACGTTAAATTATTTGAAATCCATCAACACACTCTCACTGTATTTATACTTGTGTACGTACATTGTACGTACTTTGTACGTACATATATATCGTAACATTGTATATAACATTGAATATAACAAATAATACCTATCCTAGTACCTACTCTCTTTTGATGTCCTTTTATCATTTGTATTAAATAATTATTTTCAAAGAAACATTACGCGATCAAGCGTGAAAGTAAATCATACCTATCTACGTACATCCACGTACATCACGTATGTAAAAATAAAAATACTGTAGTATTCAATCAAATTACTACTCGGGTTGAAAAATAAAATTTTTTTATAATGTTAACATAATAGTAATTAATATTTGATTAAATAATAATTTCCATAAATTATTACTGTTTATTTGAACATAAAGGAAAGTACACTTTACGTACCTTGATCTTGACATTTCGAAGTAAATGCGATTTCTGAACGTCGATCAAATAATACAACCAACTTTTATATGCTACTTGGCCAACACTTTCAAGTTCGTTATCTTATCAACTTGACGAACGACATTACATCCACGCTGTGTCACGGTACGAATATTACTGAGCAGGCAATTGACTATATACATCCCAGCCTTCTTAAGTTTTGAATCATGAGGTCATAAGGCTGATACTCGTGCTGTATTCAAACAGTAAGGAAGTAGGAATTGATGAAACATACACGTGTCGTATGACAATTATATGTACGTAAGTACGTACGATATAAAAAGTAATTTTAAGCAAATCTGACAGTGGAGAAAAAAAGATTCAGAATTTAAGTGGTATTAAAAACTGGTATTCTTACCAGAAGGGATGGCCAACTAAATTATTTTGTATAAAAAAAGATCGATGAACGGCAATAGTTATGTTATATTTTTTCATTTGTAAATAATATTTGTTGCTTATCTTATAAGAAAATATGTAATTAAAGTTTATGTAAATCAATCAATTCTCGGTGTCTCGATTCTTTTAGTTTTCATTTAAATTCCGTTCCAAAAGAGCTACAGTCATTCTCCCCCGCAATTACCCAACGTGAATTAAAACTAAAATAAAATGATTGACGGTAAAATGTTTGCTATTTTACTTCCGCATAATAGGAGGTCGAGATTAGTAATAAATGTGTCTAGATCTAATTCTCCCTCCCTCCTATCTTTTCTGGGAAAGCGATTTACTGTGCACTTCTTCTTATCTATGCACTTTGACACTGATTTACGAGTAAATTTGCAGAAAAAAGACTTTCTCCTCTTTATAAACGCTGTTCTTATCTTTATTTTCTTTTTCAGACTCATTCGAATACAACCGTTCGCACGACCATTCAAATGTCAAATGCAGTTTCATATTACATATTGAGATTCTATTGACATTTTTCTTTCTTACGAGGAAACAAATTAAATTATTGCTTTTTTTCTGTTTTTTCATGTGGAAATTCACGGAGAAACTCCGATGCTATATCGTATTGAGTACTCTATCAAGTAGAAACTATACCAACGAATGTTCCCTCAAGTAGACACGTTTTTAGACAAAGAGAGAATTAATTTTGAGAGCCATTGGTTTCTCTTTAAAAAAGCCAGAAGAAACGAGAAAAGAGCCTAAAGTCAAGTTAAAGGAGCGAGGACTCACAAATCACTGGTGACGCAAAATCTTCCAAACATAGTTGGTTACTCGCTAGGTACAATGTAACAGCCGGGGACCCATCGTATAACTTTTATAGAGGGCCACAAACCAGCTACCGTACCTCTCACACAGCCGTCGCTTTTTCCTTCCTTTTCCTTCCTTTTCCTTCCTTTTCCTTCGTTGCCACCAAATTTTTACGAAAACGTAAAAACTTTTATGACGCATGCGGTAAGCCAAGAGTCGGTTCGTCGGTTACCGCAGTTTGGCGAGCACAAGCTTTTTCGAAACACCCCCGAACACATTTGGAAATTCAAAAATTCGAAAAATCTTGCGCAACGACCATAAATCAAGTCTTTTCAAGTCTTTTGTGTTTTTCGTGTTTTGTTTCTACTTTCATGGATACCCGAGCTTTGTTTAACCAACCATCGGTCGACTTTTACATTTCAAAAAATTGCAAGAGTAGAACGTATAAAAATACGTATGTTGGTTATAGTTGAAATAACACGAACTGATAAACGTATTTGAACAAGTAGTCTGTCAGTAGTCTGTCTAATGGAAGAAAATTTTCATCGGAAGCGACTAATACTAATAATTAAGAAGTTGCAATTAAATTGTCAAGAGCAGGATAATGCAAAATCGTCAAACTTTCACCAATGAAGAGAGGAATAGAAAAGAGAAGAGAAGAGAAGAGAAGAGAAGAGGAAGGAAGAGGCGAATAGCGCATAGCATGCTGCGAGGTGGTGCGAAATGGTGGAACACGATATACGATGTACGGTGTACGGTGTACGGTGTACGGTGTACGGTGTTGGCGTGGCATGCGCGAGCGTGTCCTACCCCCTGTAGGTTGGTGGCACCCCTACCTCGCGAGGGCCGTTTGTTCGGTTCGGTTCGAGTTTACGGCCCTGCTGGGCCACAAAATTTACGGTGCCCTCTTAAAAGCCATCCAAACACGTACCGGTCCATTCGGGGCACCGTTCAAAACTATGGCGCGCCTTGCCACGCGCAGAGGCCCAGGCTGCTACCCTTCCATTCTCTCCTCCCCCTTCCTACCTCTCCTCTCCTCTCCTCTCCTCTCCTCTCCTCTCCTCTCCTTCCTTGCTACGCACCTCTATGCACCACGACTTTCAAATTTCCTATTGATGTATTTTTTTTTTTTTTTTTCATTTTTATCGAACTCTCTCGAATCGATCCACAGTATGAAAGATACGTACGTACGTACGTACGTACGAGTACAGCTATCTACCGACAAGAGTGAATTTTATGAAACTCGTCGTTCCTCTGAAAGAGGCTCGAGCTTCTTCCAAAAGTTCCAGAACGAAAGCAAACAATTTTATTCGATTAGTGAAATAAAACCAAGGATGGTTAAACCGCCGTCATAGTTGACGGGAACAAATACAACTCGAAAGCTCGAAGGGCGTTGTATTATTCAATCAGCTGGCAGCTAGCAGCTAGCGCAACGAGAGACCTCTCATGTGCAAGCTGCTTGTGTGTAATCAAGTTAAAAATTTATATAAAACACTGCCGGATGATTGCGAACGATGCCTGGATAGCCTGTGACATAAACTCGGTTACATAAAACAAATGCCGGGAACACGCGAAAGGGAAGCCCCTTTGTATCTCTGGAGCCAGCGTGCCACAGAAGAAACCCTTTCAGGGAATCTTTACATATGCATGGACCACCAATGATACCATAGAAAATCATCACCCCCTCTTCGCATCATCCAACACGGCTCGTTGTATTTTTCGCTCGTTGTACTTTACTCTATGTCATAATAGAAGAAAATTTTCCAACGATACCAAATTGCAAATACACCTCTGTCTATTTGTTATCTGTTATTTATTTATTTATTTATTTATTTATTTACTTATTTATTTATCATTATCTATCGCATCACCGACGTATATATGTATGTAGAGTTTCTTTCTTACGAGAAATATTCGAAACATTCGGCCGAAACAAGCTACTGGAATCATTTCGGTAATAATCGTAAAATCCATTTTAGTTACCACGAAAATATCTTTACCAACTGCCCTTACGTTTACACAAAGGCGCGATGGTGAAATCTACTGATGGGGAAAATGACCAATAAATTGGAAAGCGAAGGAGTGAAACTTTTTTTTAGAAAAATTAACAGGCCCTGGTAGCTATCTAACTCGATCAAACATGCAAGTACAATAATGCACAGTTGTGCCACCTGCCATGAAACGAAATCGGAGATTTATTATCGACCGATTTATTTCCATTTTCTTTGGATAAGAAATACGATGATCTAAAACTAAATTGGACACAATTGCGAATAGCTGTTCAGCTAGAGGTAATTTCAAAGTTTGCAAACCATCGGTCTCCCGATTACGAGAAAGTTAGAAGTATAGGTTAAGTACTTATTTACTCATTAGTATATCGCAAATCGTCATCACCGTACCGTGCAAACCATCCATTACAACCTAAACCTCGAAACTGAAAATCGCTGCACAAAGACTCGTCTCAATCCATCTTACGTAGGTACATACACGCTTATTCTTTTCCACCGAAATAGGTATAAATAAAAATAAATATAACATACGACGGAGTAAGTGCAAACAAGAAGTGAAACACATGAAACGTGTAATTTTAACATACGCGTTACAATGCCTACATCTCAACGGGAATCTTCCCATCCCTTCGATCAAAGACTTGAACGTAGGGAGTATGGGCGTATCTACCTATGTTACATAATAAACGGGAGCAAAATCGTGACTGTAATCTATGCGAGTGAATGGCACAGCAGGTCTCTGCTACCCTTTGACAGACACGTATTTGTATTTGTATTTGTATTTGTTGTGCTTTATACTAATATTAATGGTAAACATAAACTAAGCACTACAATACCTATCGGATTGTTATCGATAAATAATTCGTATACCCATTAGATTCGTACTCACGTGAAAATATTACTTTGAAATTACAACAACGAGACGCGCTTTAAATTTCTGAACGAACGTTTATGACTCTGACTGTCGCATTAAACAGGAAAGAGAAAAAGATTTTGAAAGTAGATGCAGTCGTTGAACGTCGTAAAATTTATATTACACCTAAATATCTTTCGCACTCGGCTGTCCCTTCTGATGAGACATCGTTAAATCTTAAATCTAGTCAACAGCTCGGACTTTCTCTTTTTGTAATTTGCTGATAAATTACAATGAACATTTGACGTTGTACAATGCGACGTATAACGACGTATAACATCTGAACAGAGGCCTAGAACGAAAGCTACAACAACAATGTAAGAAGAACAAAACAATTTCAAAAGGAGAAATTTCTAAAGACGGTCCCGAGTAAATTGTTCATAATAAATAATTCACAAAATTCGGAATAATTTGCACAAATAAAACTTCTTACAAAAGTATATATTATACTTGCTCTAGCAAGCTTGCTCTGCAATGCACGTTAATGATTGCTTTAAATTTAAACGATATCACACGTTAGGAAGATATAATTAACAAAATTTCGTGTTAGATACCATTTGAATGATTATTTCAAAGTGCAAACAGTTAAAAATGTTTATTCGACGGCGTCGAGCTGATTTTTTTGTTCAGTCCTATTCTAAAATGCTACAAAACTACCATCAATCATCGTGTTTAAGTGAGGTTTAAACTTAAATTTGAGACAAGATAGAATTAGGACAAAACCGAATAAAGAAGAAGATCATTCGAGAAGACGAGGAAATTATTTGAAAATTGGTACGTACCTACTTACGTATGTAGGTAGTACATATGTACCTGTGTACATATGTATGTACCCACTCTTGCAACAGCAGCGAGCGAACGTTGGAGTTGAAACAGTGCAGTATCGCGTGAAACTGTCAATTAGGAATCCGTCGGTCGATTTCAATATCTGCTGAATCGATCCTTTTCGACCGTTCATAGGTTGTCACAAGTAATTGTTCCGAAATTTGCTTGCCTGTACTTACCTACCGACAAACAATTTCT